ACATTACACCGGTATTACCGTGAACGGTATGATATGGCCCAGCCCTACTCTAGATCTCAAAAAAGTGAAGTCAATACAAAAAGTGCTTTAAACTTTCTGTTGCTGCAAAAGCACTTACGTTATGGTATAACCACCTTTGATTTCTTTGCTCTATGACTAGCTAAGAACAGTTATGGAAGCTTTCTGCCACTGAAAAAACAAACAGTTTTTTGTCGCCCAGAAGTCAAAGTTTCAGGTTATTATCTTAAAATCTCAACTTACTAACTCAGACTTCTGTGAATATAACTAGAAGTTTTAACTTCTGGGTGACAGAAAACACCTTTTTTCCAGTGCTGGAGGCAGGCTTCTATAAGAAGTCCCATACGCACTGACCATTTGAAAAACAATACACATTTAAGGCTTTTTTGGAAAAAAAACTAAAAAAAAAACTTTGGCTACAACCCTTTTTTTTTTGAGAAAGTCTTGGTGAGGCTGAAACAATTTCATCTACACAGATACAGAGTGTGACAAACCACAAACACACACACACGCCTTTAAAAATATCTGACCTGTCTGAGAAATCGACTGTTCCCAAGATCCACAACCAGAACCTGTACACAGAAAAAAAGGTTATTTCTCTGCACAGCAATGTACAGCAGCTCATAAGTCATGTATTCCTATATGACTGCAGTGACACTTGTATTACTCCTCTGACCTCCTCCAGGGGCAGCTCAGTGAGTTGGGGCAGGGAGCTGGACAGCAGGCCCACAATGAAAGGGGTTGGTGTGCAGACGATGTCGAGCATAGCTGAGGGCAGCACTGGGATGTAAGTGTGCTGCCATACAAAGGGGTAGAGCAATGCCACGACTGCATGACAGCATTGGGAAAGAGTACTAAAAGAGGGAGCAGAGAACACAACAGTGGAACATTATTAAATTGAGCTTTTAATGAATTTTAATGTTTAAAACAAACAAAACTGACTTTCCCTTTTAGTCTATATGAGACAAAGGAGAGAATTATCAGTTATTCTCACCGCATGAGGGCACCACAGTCTAAATAGAGACTAGCCATTCTCTAAAGTAATACCATTACCCTGAGAGAAAACCAAGGCTACATACTTCTTTCATTTACATCACTGCACTTTGCATTCCTGTCTTCGACTACTGTGGCTGATCTTTCTGACTCCCAGTGGCTTTCAGCAGAGCAAACAAACCAGTCCCAACACGTCAACAACTCAGCTGGCCTTCCTGAAAATAGCTCTCTGGTATGTTCTCTGAATAAAACTGGGACTGCCTTAAATTTATTTAAAATTGTGAGTCTGGACCACCCACATATCCTGTAACTTTATCGTAAAACACCCCTGCTGCTTTCAACTAATATTTACCATTTTCATAACTGCATAAACAGTACAGCTTCATATATAGCTGGAAGATATGGATTTTGGTGTACAGACAATATGGCTTAAATGAAGGGACAAACCTGAGCTTGTCTGCTGTGAAGATGACTCGCCTCTCTAGCAGCAGAGAGCCAAAAACCCTGAGAAGCAGGCGCAGACTCAAGCAGGAGAACAGACATTCAAAATCCACATGCTCCAGGCGTGAGTCAGAGGGTCGACAGAGCTCCATCACCTGAGAAATCAACGGAGATTTGATCCTGTCAGCTTACTCAATGTAACACCAAAGTTGTGTCTGATGGACTGACAAATCCATTCCACCATTCAGTTCTAAATATGTTCATTTCAAGTCATTTTAATCTGGATCTGAACTACTTTCAGCTCTAGTTATGGTTAGCGAACTGTGTAAGCTGTTCATCCACAACTGTGAGGCAAAAATGCAAAAACATTTAGCCAGCAAATATTTTGTCAAATCTTTAGATGTGTAGGAAAAATGTAGTAAAAGTTCCAAATTACTGGGTGTCAATAAAGGTTTCATTTTTTGCAGTGTTTTTTAGATGAAAGAAACAAAACTGGATGAATTTTGTATAGTGAGATTTAAATTTCAAAATCTGGTAAAAAAAAAATGTCAATGTGCTTAGCAGATTATTTGATTTATTATTAGGATGGATCGGAAACCACTGCTCAAATGGACTGCTAAAGACATTTTTAACTATTTTATCTGACTTTTTCTTACAGTTTGTTACTTTTTGGGGGGGTCCCACTGTCGCTCACCTCAGTGCCTGAACCAGGAAGAAAAGTTTTGATGGTGATGGTTTTCCCAGGAGCTGGAAACTGGGCCTCCATGATGGCTCTCATGAAAGGCTGGACCAAGGCAGGAGACAGAGCCCTGCGCCTCTCCACCTCATCCAGCACCTAGAATGC